CCAGTGCTGTGGCGCTTCAATCTTTGCCTATGTCTTGGGCTACTCAAATATTTTATGTTTTTGATACTAAATTAACCTCTGAAGTATAATTTTTTATTGTTTTTATATTTTTCAATATATTTATTTTGTTCGTACAAAATAAAGAAATAATTTTTGAACGATACAATAGTCTTCGTTAGGCTTAACATCGACGAAAATTCAACGCGAAGCGACACGCAACGGAGAAAAATGTCAAGATGAGATAAATTAATATATTTTTTCGTACATAATCGGTTATCCGAAATACCGGGTTTTCCAGAACAACCCCAGTCTCCAATTGATTCGGATAATCGACGCTCTACTGTATTACACAGAATTTAGCGCACCGTTTAATTAACACACAGTTTTAAAGCGCTATTTCATTTTAAAATAACTGTCTGATTATTACTATTTTAAGAGAGGAAGAGGAACTGAATCGGACTCTTCAAAATTTTCTCGAAATTTTCAAAACTATTATTTTAAAATGAGGTTCGAGATTAAAAAATATGCCACTCGTGAGGTTTTTTAAATGAAATTTTCGAGGCGTTCCCAGGCTCTACCAGGTCCACAATGGATACACCCGATGGTGAGGGATGGGGACTTACGCTTGCCCGGATTCAATCCTGAATCTCCTAGAGCTACAAATAGTTGCAGCCACCTGGTCGTCAACTATCTGTTGGTTCACAATGTGTCTGGTCTTAACAGATTATTTACGGTGTTTTTATATTTCCTGCACAGACTCGACCGATTACATCTGTCGATAAAGAAAACGATTATTCGGTCAGACGCGAGTTAGAAGGACCTTGGAAAAGCGAATGCGAATATATAACTACAGCTAATTTAGGGTAAGAAATCTTTTCATTTCGTAAAAAGTTAACTCAATTCTATTCGTTCGCAGACAAAAGTCATATTTTTAATATTTTCACTTAAAAATTATTTGATTTATAAATTTGCTAAGTTTGTGTAAGAACACAAATCTTGAATAAAATTATTGTTGTTTAAATTCAGAGATAATTTTTATTTAAAACTAAGTAATAAATATTAAGATTTGTTTGAAAATATAAGACTTTTAGAATTTGAAAATGATTTTTCAAAAAACGTTCTTTTGCCTGTAAGCACTAAGAGTGTCCAGTCGGTCAGACTTCCAGGATATGACTGAATGCTCGAGGGCGTGTCTAGTCTACAGATGGAAATTAGCTATGACGTAACGGGTCCTTCGTCTTCCACGCAGCTTTGGTCATATAATTAGATTGTACTATGTATGTCTTGTCTCTTTAATCCGACATTGTTTCGACATGTCGAAACAATAAAAGAAGTATCTAACCTGAAAGCTGTAATGATAGTATACCGAACTTAATGTCGGATTAAAGAGACAAGACATACATAGAACATAATAACAGCTATCCAAAAGTGATATTTAGAATAATTAGATTGTAGTTGTGCGTGGGAAGAGATTACCAGAGATTGAAGCGTGAAAGTCCGTACGAATTGCCATTTGTACGGACTTTCAGGCTTCATCAAAAGAGCGATCCACTTAAAACGGCATTCCATTAAGTTGCCACCTCAACCGTGCGGAACTTCCAGCACGGTTGAGCAAAATCGCGAGTTTGGCTCGAGATACCTCAAATATGTCGTCGGATAGCAGAGACGATAAAGGTCTCGGTATGTCTTCGAGTCCGAATCGGGAACTGAAATTTTTTATGGCCGTGAAGACCTGGCCGATCGAATGGTGAGTATGAGGAACGAAAAAGCCTCTTATTGCCTATAGAGCTGCAAAAGGTCGCAATCGATCTCGGGCCCTTTAAAACCATTCACACAACGAAAGAATTGAGCTTATTGGGATATTAATATTAGTTTTTAGTAAACATTTATTTTCCTGTATCTAATTTAAAAAAATTATTTTTTATAGAGAAGTATTTCCCGGCGCTGTTACACCTCTTACATTTAGCATAATTATAAAACTCTTTGACACTTCGGGTCAGGTAAGCAAATAATAATTTTTATTGCATTTAGGAATTATTATATCTTATTAAGCTCAATATTTGTTTTTTGGCACTTTATACTTTGTCCCACATATTTGATACAGACAACTTAAAAAAGCCTGAAGTTCTGTGCATCAGAATGTTTTTGGATTCGAGTTTAACTCGAATAGAGGCACACACTCTACTTTTCAAAATTTCAGCAATTCGCCCATCACAGTTAAATTATGTTCTTTTATTTAATTCTGTTTAAAACGCTTAAAAAATAAAAGTTCGATGTAAAAGCTGTTGAATTATACAGTAGTTTACTACCGAGAATATTTGAGAAATTGACCGTGATGTTGCAAAATCAGACAATCAGACTAGAGTACAGTAGAGCCTCGATTATCCGACCTAATTGGAGACTGAGGTTGGTCGGATAATTGAAAGGGCGGATAACCGAAAAGTATGAAAAAATCCATTATTAGTGTAGTATATTATTATATCCCATGTAATTAGTATATTAGTATATCGCTATTAACCTACTTCGCGTTGAATTTTCATCGATGTTAAGCCTAACAAAAATTTTTTAAAATAATAATCGTCGCTATTGTATCGTTAAAAATTAGAAAATTAAGCCTCGTTTAAATACTGGCTCCCTTTCATGGTCGAATGAGTGTTGCCAGCTAAAACACGTAAAAATAATATTAAAGTAACCGAGACATAGCCAAATATTGTAGCGCCACATCACTAGCGGACATTTGAAATTTGCCGACTAGGACGGTCGGTTAACCGAGGGGTCGGTTGATAGGGGGTCGGATAATCGAGGCTCTACTGTATACCAGAAGGCTAGATGGCCAACCTGCCATTTTAGAGAACCGAAGCTCAGAAAGGATACGACATAGTTTTTTCGGGACCGTTTCTCGTCACTGATCTTCCATTGAAAAACTGACACAAAAAGGTTCCTTTGTGTTGCATAGAGTTAAAAAACAATAAAGTGTACTAAAGAATAGCGATTAAAGTAATATGAACTATTGCACTGGATGGTCGGATGGCCGAAGTGGTTAAGATGGTATATACCGCTCTGAAGAGTGTAGAATCGAATGTTGGCGAGAAACCTCAGAAATATATTATCCCGGAAATGTCCATATCCTTCACCACACAGTGGAGGGTATGGAGGAAAAACCTCTTACTACCCACAGGACGGAAACAGTCAAAAGCGAAAAAACAGTTTAGCGGACAGAACTGATTTTATGTTAATGTAAGTGTTTTACCGGTGTTTTACGGCTTTCAGTTTGCACTTATATTCGTATTAAATTGGTTTTTAATTAAAACGGATGAAATAAAACTGAAATTCGGTAGTTAAATAGTTCACGTTTCATTTACTGTAATTTCGTGCGTTTAGAGCATCCATTGTCTATAGACACGAGTTGGTAATCGCAATTTTAAAATCGCCATCTAACCTAACTCGCACCTTTTCCAAATTGTATTTTAAACACAAATAACCCGCGGATAATCCGAATGAAATTACAATAGTCAGGAATTTAAAATATTTATTATAATATTGAAGATTTATTTACTACTTGGGTTATTTTTTTCAACCTCCATCGACCCAGAACAAAGAAACCAGAATGAAGAACAGAACCATTTTATTTGTAGAAGGTAGTTACAGACGTCACCTATAATTGGCTTGTCGATTCGGGCAGACATCATACCGTGACACCAGCTTTTTTATATCCGTGTCGAAGAACGTTGCCGCCGGGTCATTCGGCTCACCTTTAACACGACTGAGGTATGCATTGTGGACATTGAAATTTGAGGAAACTCCTCACTGAGCTCAGAAATCGTGAACCGACGCCTTTCTCGCACCAATTGATCCACTTTGTCCACCAAATCGTCGGACGTCACACGCTTCCTCCCTCGACTATCCTCATCGTGAACGTTGTCACGTCCTTGTTTGAATTTCCTGCACCATTCACGGACACATCCGTAGCTCATGAGGTTCTCACTATACACATTACACACTACACATTCATCGATGAATTTCACCTCCATTCGGCCCTTCGGCCTGTAGAATTCGAATTACTGCTCGTACTTCACAGTTGGCGAGAGACTGGATTGGCGGCATCGTGCTTACTTGTTTACTGCAGAGTAGAAAATGTTTAAAATAGCTTGGCACAATGCTAAGTGGTGGGAATATACTACTCACTAGGTGTGCACCCCGACCCTGTCTCACACGCTTCCAATTTTTTTTCACGCGTTAGTGGAGGTTGAAAAAATAACCCTCGTATAATAATCAAGTTCTGTACAAATTAACTTTATAGTTATTGTAATATCAGCTATTTATGTATTTTTGCATTTCTATAGAGAAGAATGAAGAGAAGAGGGAGATTAGAAGAAGGAGCATTTTGCCCTTATTTCCTACGTAGCATGACAATTACTAACGGTCACATGGTATTTAATTTAATAGACGTAGGTACAAGGAACGAAATTATTATCATTATTAGTAAACAGTAATCTGAATATAGTACAGTATATAGTTTAATATTTATATTTGTTCTAATTGAAAGACTAAAAGTAATTATATATTAAAGCGCCACTTAATGCTTAAGATACGTTCGTAGAATATGTCTTCATAATTTTACATTTTAGACGAAGGGTCGGGCTCTGAGACGGGATCTTTGGCTTCTCGATGTAGCCATAAACAGTCAATTGCCTTTCTTCCTTCGATCACGAAGAAGCTATCGACAGCGGGATGTCATTTACATAATACCACGCTTAGCTATAGAGCTCTTTAGATCTCCACTATAATCTAAATCGTTCTTTATAATTGTTTTATAATTAGTATGATTGTTGCAATAATATTGTCGAAGAAGTTGCAGGAAGTCTTATGTCATCTCGACAATCAGAAACTGTAGCTTGTCTAGAAGCTTAGCTCCGATAGTAGTTCAGGTTCTTTATTCCTTAAACAATTGGCACGGGCTTGCAACAATACCCGGATTATTGTAGCCAAAGAAGCCAGATTTTGAGAAGATTTTAAGAGTGCCAAGTTGTCCATTCCAGGAAATTACTGCTTTACTGAGTATTAGCAGCTGACATGTTCTAAATGTCCCGCTTTGGATAATTAGGAATACAGATCATTTGAATAAAGCAACTATAAGATTATTTGAAAATTGGTTTTATTTAATGATTAGGTAGAGAATGATTTGTAATTTCTGCAGAAAAAATATCGAATTAATAAAACGCAAAGAACAATGATAAGTTTGGAGTGATTTCCGAAGGAAAGACCCAAACACTTACGAAATTAAAGCTTATGACCAGAGGAACATAATGATAGTAGTTTCGAGTCAGGAAGTGCGAGTTTTGATTTGCCTCCTATAGTTTCTAACTGAAACTACTACTATTGTGTTCCTCTGATCATAACTTCTAATTTGATGTATAGTTTGGAGTTTGTCCCGGGTGACCGGAAATCATCCAAACTTCACGGCGTTGTCCTTTCAGTTAGCGGCCACTGATGTTTCCAGCAAGAAAGTTTCAATTTAAATGCCAATAGTACTGAGCTTGGGCTCCGTACAATACCGAGAAATTTGTGTGTCATATAACTTAAAATTTAGCTACTTTTACGGCCGTACGAAGTGCTTCGAGAATTAAATATGGAAAAAAGTAGTTAGGCTATATATTTTCAAACTAATCTTTAACCGAGAGAATATAAATACAGTATGTCGGAAATCGAACGCTATTGATTGTGTTGAAACAATAAATGTAATTTGAGAGGCAAATGAAAAGAAATTTTCCTGGGAAAAAGGGGTCGATTCCCGGATGACTCCCCTACACATTTGGTGACAGTTCGAGGATACAATCGAACCGACTGTCCATCAACGGTATCCGAAGAAAGGATCATTGAGAAATCCGAATAAAATGCAGGGATAAAAAAGAGAGTCGCGTCCGAACTTTCATTTTTTTGTCCCTGTTTGTCCCACGAATCAATCCTGAAAACTTAAATTTAAATGACGAATTAAGATCAGTTTCGTCCTCAATGATTAAGTCCCGATACCATCTGTCGAGAGAAACAATAAGAAACTTAAGTCGAAATTGATGGACAAACGTTATATTCACTATTCACTTTAAGATTTCAGAGTTTCCAATTCCGTCGAATATTTTTTATTCGGGACCACTCGGACGGATTCAGATATTTACAGCCTCTCGTTCACCTTCGGAACTTGGAGAAAGATTTGATGGTTGGAGAAAGGCCTTTCTGCAACGATCGTACGAAAAAAAGAGTTCAAATTCCTGACATACGTATTTTGAGTTAGCTTCCCTCGCAAAAAAACTGACCATCTACGATAGATGCGAAACACGATGAACAGAAATCGGTGCTCATCGATGATTGGCATTATTCCACGAACGAGACTTCATCATTACCATCGGGATCCTGTCGCAAAAAAACTCTTATTGCTGCAATCTTTACAAGTTAAAAATTACAAATATCTTGTAATTTATATGCCACAGGTTCCTGGTGAATATAGAAATTAATTTATTCTTAAGAAATAGTTATTTTATTATTTCTTCGTCATTTCTGTTACCTCATAACGTATTAAGTGGTAACAGAAATGACGAAGATGCGCGATAAATCGAGCAGTAAGGAATAAAACGGTTACATTGACTAATAATAGAATTAACATACTTTTCACATTTAAAAAACATAAGAAATTTTATTTATTTTTAGACTTTATACCGATATAATTCGGAAAAGGCTACTACTTTCAGCAATTCTTCTCTAGTTTCGTTATTTGGACGAATTCTGGAAGAGGATGACGAATTTAGGAAGAGAGGAAGAGAACGTTACAGCACAAATCGTTCGACCACGTACGCTGTTTATCGTCTGGCGTATCTCTTTTATGTAAGTATTCGTTTATCAAGAAATTACATTATTTTGAAGGGAAGAAATGAGTCATAGTGTAAAACAATCGCGGTTTTTCTTATTTGATTTGATTTATTCTTACATAATAGATGTGTGCTTTTTGATTACATTTCGAGAGGATATTTGAAGAAAAGTCGTAAAAGTTTGAAAATAACAAAAGCAGCCTAATATTTACGACAATTACTATAAAGAAAAATACATATTCTACTAGGTGTCCCGTAACTTACCCACCGCAAACTTACGATGTTTGCAAGCAGAGATTTAAAAATGGAGATCCAATCGTTGCAAACACCGCGTAAGATGTAATAAGTCTTGACCTCATATATCTCTACGAACAGTCATCCAGCGGTGGTATGTAAAATAGCTGCTCGAACTCCTCTGCCACTTCCCTGTTACTGCGCTGGCTGATCATTGGATCTGCTAACACAGATGACATATAACAGAATGACGATATTGTTTTGAAACGAAAAAGCCAGTACATTATGGAACATCTTACATAAATAATAAGCATCTACAATTTAAATAATTCGCATACAATTCTTCTTTACTTGTGTGTTTACTTTGACAACGACAGTTTTGATTAATGTTATCAAAAATTGTAATTTTCCGCTAAATCTGGCAATTTATTTTTTCAATGGAAAAACTTTAATTTTTAATAATTAAAATTTGTAATTTTAAAACCTTTTTTACAGGATATATATAATTCCAAAAGGTTATTAGAGAAAACAAAGGCCAAATATGCAGATTTTAAGGTTTCGACGACCAAACTGTGTTCTTCATCAGAAATATTTGAAGAAATTTCTAAGAAACTATATCACATAGAAGAGGTAATTTTTCTACACCTTTTCCATCGAGATACTTTAATAATGTAAAGATTTTAGGCTATTTATGCGGATAACACATCATTAAAAAATTCTTTGAGTATTTTTTAAAAACAAGTGTAAACTATTGGGATATTTTTATTTAAAATTTTTCCACCTCGCGGGGACTAGCACTTCCATCCTCATCAATGAGGAAGCCTCGTATATTTGAATAAAGATGCCCGTAGAAATCTCCAAACCAACCTGGATTCTAAAGAATTTCGATATCCTAGAGTCCGGGTCCTCCGCTGGGGCAGACTACGATTAACAAAAGGATGCCTTTATATTGTTTTGCCCGATTAGCGCGTTGCTCAATTTTATATTTAATTTTATAATTAAGAAAATCCCATCTTATTTTAACGCAGAAATTATTTTTCAGCCCGTTAACGTCCACATCGTATGCACTGTCAGTTCGTCTATCTGGAATTCGGCAGTTTTATCCAACCTGGTTAAGGCGCAAAATGGTAATAATACTTCTATATAAGTTAATACGATTTTAAAAATGAATAAATACGTGTATATTTGACACTTTCCTTACGTGGAAGCAAAGAAAATCCCACTTTTTATGCTTATTATGAAAAGGTGAGCCGAAACATCGGTGGATTGCCGGACTCCGGTCAATCCACCGATGAAAATTTTTACGGTTTCGACTCCGGCTGGATTGTTAGGATAGGAGAATGACGTATTTATGTAAACTGTTCTACAGTTTGTCGCTATCAGTGGCCTAGTGAATAAAACTAATGAACAATGAAGTTGGTGGCGGGTTGGCACCTAAGAACAAGCTAGCTACGCGGATTTTTTCGAATTGCCATAGAAAAGCCCTTGGAAAATTATATTTTGCAATTGTGATTATGGACAATTATAATAATTTAAACTAAAAATATAGATGACTTTTATTTCTATATTTAGGTTGGACGACCGAAGTTTATGCAGATTTTGCATTTCTTACGTCGAACATAAATTCGATCGAAAGCGCATCTGTTCCTGCAGCGATAGACGTAAAAATTATTTTATTTGAATGAAATTTTAAAAAGGCTTTCTTTTTATTGAGGAAATAAATTCCATTTATTTATCAGTTATTTTCAAAATTGAAAAAAGTGTATTTGATTTCAGGACTTGGCATTGCTTATATCGAAACATATAAGAACAGAGGAATTTCAAAAAATGGAAACAAACGTAAGAATTTGAAACGTATATTTACTTTTAACGCAATTTATATTTGTATTATTATCTTGTGGTGTAGTCACTATTTTAGTTTTGACTTTCTTTTTTTGTGGACACAAAGGACCTTTTTGTATTGGTCGTGGATTCGGCCTGGTCCACTGGGTGGTGAGAGACGAGGGTCGACCTCCCGTTTCGAATGCCGAGGGAAGGTATTCGATTCCGAGTTTCCCGGAGCGGAAATTATTTAGCTAGGAAACAACACGTATCGCAAGAAGCTAACGAGACTCGGTAGGCCTTGCGTAGCCCTTTGTAGTGAGGCTAAGCAAGGCCTAAGCTAAGCAATATACTAGGAGGCCTGAAAAAGTTTGTCTCGATGTCGCAGAGTTGCTGTCTAAGATGAAGAGAGGCTCTGGTCGATAATACATTATGAGCACCGCGAGTTAAATCTTTTTAATTGAAAAAAATTAAATTTGAATAAAAACTAATTTATTTTTCAGAAAGTTTTTTCTTGGTTAAACGATAATACCGAAGTAAGAAAAAAATTTCAAGAATTTATCGAAAAGCACGGTCATAGATGTATTAAAGAGGTAACATTTATAATTTCTTATTGTCGAATTTTATAATGAAATATTTCATTAATCGCAATTAAAATTATTGAGGTTTTTTGAAATTTTCAATTATGTAAATTTTTGCATTGTTTGTATCTCTTCCTCCAACCTTTATCCGACTTTATATTTGAACATTTAAGCCAGACTCGGGAGGCCTTGTATAGCCTATTGTACAGAAGCCAAGTAAGGCCTAATTGTAATAAATTTCAATTACGATTTATCCCTATCCGTTACGGATTGGGCCTAGAAAAACTGCGGCTGGCAGAGTAATAAAGGAAGAGGTCCGAGTTAATTGTTTTTTGAAAATTTCTGAGGATCTCACTGGCTTCAATTATAGTCTCTGGCTATTGCATTCTCTTAGAAAAGCGAGATGATGGCTTTTCTCATTCGTGACCCGATCAATCGTTCAAATTTAACATTCGTTAGGTGCTTTATTTGATTTTTCTCCATCGAATTATAAGATTTTCTGTCAGCTTCCTCTCGTATTATTATTCTATTATTCTTTTTATTATTATCTTCTTTACTTTAGAAAAGTCTGCTCTAGAAATTTAGTTAAAATCATAATACTAGTGAGATCCGGAGTCAATGAAGTATCGCGTGTCTTTATAGCCAGGTTGGAACCTTACAAATTTTCGTGAATGGTTATGTTTATCTTGGACAATGAACTGGGAATTGAGGGATGGAGGCTCAGTTCTTCAGCTTCCGATCTTCCTACTGTGTACTTGATCAAACCTTTGATGGACTTTCGGATAAAAATGTATATTTTCATTAAGAGTGTAATAGATTTGTTAAATTTAAACGACATTAAACTACTGTTATCGGTAAAAATTGTTAACAAATACATTACAAATAATAATTTTAGTAATAGATTATAATACACATTATACGCAATATAAAATATGTTCTTATTGTATATCTAGTTTGATTTGTATTCTAAAACCTGGAAGATGGATCCTTTACCACTAATTAAGACATTGCAGGTATGTTAATTCCAGAAACTTACGTAAGATATTTCATGGAGTAAATATATTTGGCCTGTTTCAATACGTAACGCGTTAAAATACGAGAAAAGCTTCTCCCTTCTAAAATGTTTCATAAAAAATTTATATGTTTTTGTTTATTTTTTATATACTTACTTTATATAAATGGTAGAAATTATTTTAAAATAACTGTACTTATTACAGAATTCAGTGGGAAAAGCGATAAAACAGAAAGAAGGTGCGATGGATATCGAATTGTTATTGAATAAAATTAAGTCGCCGTTAACTAAGGGCCAAAAGTACGTATGTTTGTTTAATTCGATATAAAATTCCTGGCATATATTTATACACAGCTCCAGTCAAAATTTCCTTCTTCTTTTATTTCAAAAGTACTAAAAATGTATTAATTTTTTGACTGTAGTTACGCAGGAAGTGGTGCGTGGAGGATCGGATGGTCTCGAAATGATTTTCAGTCACTTACGTTGTAACTTTGTTACGTTAACTAGCAAAGTTAACGTAACAAAGTTAATGATTACCGTTTAATCTAGAAGGATTTCCTGGAATTTAAATAAATACATTTAAAGTTGCGTAATTTTGCACAGAAGCAAAACTGTCAATGATTTTCAATGTGAATAATGGTCCTGGCCGATTTCCTATGTAACTACATTAACAAAACGAACAATTATTTATTGTGACTTGGTCAGAATTTTTAATATTTCTAATGTACAGTAGACCCCCTATAACGCTTAGATACGTTCCACGCTAATCGAATTTTACGTTGTAAGAATGTTTAAATACATGAGCCAATCGCAGCCCGATAGGTGGGAACTTTACGGACTAAGGCTGTTCGAAAGGTTTTCTTCTATAAAATTAACCGATTCTAGACTAATTCCACTCAACATTTCCAAAACACGTATAATTTTTTGGGAGTAATCCGTATAAACTACGCTATAAACAAAAAATTATAGGATTACTTACCGAGTGTGTACCGTTCGACTACGCCGTTGCTTAAAGCTGGTTTTCGTCGCGGAACAGCACATGAAACGGCAGCCGCGATTTCTAATAACGAATTTTTCGCAGAAAAATAACTTGACCTTCGGAGACATCATTAATATAAATAATTTTAATCGCCGTTGAATAAGAAGTGTTTCTTTCACAAGAAATGTATAAAATTAGTGCTGTATTAGACTTACGGTACCTAATTTACATACTGTACAGACGATAATAAACTCAACTTACTAGCCTAAAATCTCCGTAGCGTGTTGCCAGGCGGCAGAAAGCATATATATAATTATAATAAAGTTACAATAAATTAAGTTAATATATAATTATATATACAGTACCTAATTTATATATAATACTGTTTAGACGATAGCAAACTCAATTTAGTTGCTCCGTAGCGTGGCGCAGGGTCGGAAGAAAGTAGTTCGGCTGCTCATCCACTATTGGTCCAGATTCTATCAATCTTGTCGCGAAACGACGTTATAGGAGGTACTTTATACGAATGTTGCTACAATTTTTTCGCTACGTTATAGGAATTGTCGTTATAGGAACGCACGTTATAGGGGGTCGACTGTATTTCATTTAAAATATCAAATTATTAGTAGTGTTTTGCCTCTGTATATCACACTTTTTCGTTTATCAACCAAGTCGTATCGATCATCTATTAACTGCTTTCGGGGGAAAAGTTTTGAATTGAAGTAACGTAACTTCTAGTTTGAATCGGAAGTTCTTATACAGTTAATTGGGGCATCCCGTACCTAAGATTTCCATATCTGATCTCGTCTTCATCTATCTAACTCCGTCCTCAAGATTAAGGAAATACAGACGGACAGATGGACGGAAGACAGTGGGAACTTTAAGTCTACAATTTTTCCAAATTTTGCAGAATGCCATATTATTTCAATTCAAAAACTTTCTCCCGAAAAGCCTGTTAGATGACCGGCACCACTCTATTGTTAAAGGAAAAGTATGATGTACGGGGGCAGGCCATTACTAATTTCAGGTAGAGAACATAGATTTTAAATGAAATAAATTAAAAATATGATTAAAAATTGCAGCCCGGCATTGTGACCGTGATACAAGAAATAATTGCTGGTTTTTCTTTACATTTTTTGCCTTGTGGACACTGAGGGCATTTTTTGTTTTTTAAAAATGAAACTCATCGCGTGTTCAGCCAGGATTCACAATAGGGCGATCGGGTGTGAGGTATGGGGCCGGACATATCCGGTACGGACCACTTTCCAAATCTTGCGGGTTCTCGACCGGTTAGGATTCGGACCCGGATTTTCTAGAAAGGCAGATTAACATTTTAGCCACTGGCGTCAAGTCGGAAACAATTTGTACTGTACATTTCTTTAGATAATGCAGATTGCACGTACAGAAATTTTTTAGATGGTTTCATTAAGATATAAGGGCCCTAATCTATTGTGACTTGCCAAAAACACGCTAACTTTGTACGAATTGGTCCTCCTAGTTAGTGTCTGCAGTTAGGAAAGAGTTAGGTTTTTTTAATTTTCTTCCCTACTTACCATAAAAAATTATTTTCTTAGAATTCTTGGAAATAAAAGCGATTTTTCTATCATGATTTCTAAAGGTAACAAGAATTTTGTTTTGTTTCTAATTATTTCTTCTGTGTTGACCTCTTTTTATCAAGCCAACGTATTCAGATGGGCTCTCTCTTGAAAAATTCCTGGATGTCCAAGAACGATAGGCTGACGCCTTTACCACCTCACATCTTTTGTGTTTTATACTAATCGACTTTTTTTTTAACTTGGAGATTATATTGTCCTGACATTTTAGATTTAAATTTAAATAAAATCTAAAATTCTGACGTATCGCCATTGATTTCCAACTTGTTACTTTATTTTTGTATTTATGTATTGCATTATTAGTATCGTATTTAAAATATAAGCGATATAAAGTTATAAATATCTGTTTATTTATGATTAATAATTTGACAGTTTCAATTGTTATTGTCTAAATTAACAGACGAATACTTCGATTCGTGTTGCCAAGATGTCGAAAAGCAGTGGAATACAGAGAAGCAACTAAAGTAAGACAATTAATCATCGGTTATTATTAAATTATAAAGTTGTCATTTACGAACAATCGCTTCCGGGATGTACAATCGTAAAAACACGGTAAAATCAATGGCGAAAGTTTACGAGTTTGGTTTGATGAAACTCGTGGAACTGGCCATTTTCCGAGAAAGGCGGTGTCCGTGGTCAACTTTCTATACAAAACTGGCCCCTGTTTAGGTGTTAGATATGTGAATAAATACTTGAAAATGCCATTAACCCACACGTAGGACCTCCGCGGGAACCTCAACTAGTGTTCAGTGGTCTTAATCACTTGACCCGTGTTGGTGTTTAAAACATAAAGTTCAAAAATACGTTTCGTTATAATTATTATACAGTATAAATTTAATCAATATTTGTTATATGTATCAGTTACGGAAGACGAACAATCGAAAGAATTTCAAAACAGAAATTCGTTGTAGCGAGTTTCGTGGAACTTGTCCCACCCTGTACTTAATCGCCGGTCAGGTGTCAGAGGGGTGACATAACTTACGACCTTTACGTAAACACTTGCTCCGCTGCCCTCAAACGGATTAGATGTAGAAATAAACTCCCTCTTTTTGTTAACGTTAATTTTGCTTGTGTGAATCATTTATAGTCTCCCAACATTCGTCAACTGTCGAAACTTTATTTATTCAACATTTTTTTAAATTCTGTAGGTAATAAAAGACTTTTTTATGAGTTTGGCTCGATCATAATTGATGCAGTCGGTCGGGACGAGGAACCGGACGCGACATATTCGGAACAGACCACGCATGAAAAATTGAGGTTTCTCATCTGGCATCAAACTCTGATGCCTTTATTGCGAGGGCCCAGTTATCACTATTTCAGCTTAAATAAAGCCCGTTTTCTCGCCCATTATGAGTATAGTGAAGTTTGTGGGCAAATTTCTCGTTACTCGGTTGCTTAGGGTGACGGTTTACCTTATAAAATCTTTTAATGTTATCATATTTTTCTGTTTACAGTCTTTCCTAATCAAAATATTAAATTCGTTTCGAGAAGCATTTTATCATTTGGGACAGGTGATGGTAGATGAAGGAAGGTTATTTGACAAAGAACATTTATTTTTTCTAACCTTCGAAGAACTGGATATGCTAATAAAAACGAGATCTGCAAGAATACTGCACAAGTAAATTAAAGAATGATTATAAGAATAAATATAATTAAATTATTAATTAAAATTTTTGCAATTTTGCAGAGCGGTAGCCCGTCATAAAATCTACTACGAACTCGACTCTCTGAAATTTCCCGAAATTCATTGCGGCATTCCTAATCCTTATCGTAACAAAGTAAGTGCTACGTTATACAGCAAATCCTCGTTAATTCAAAATTCGAATTATCCGAGATTTACATTTATCCGTACAACACGCCAAAAGCCTGTAACTGGTGAAATTTATTAAGCGCGTATTCACAACTCTATTTTCGTTAATAAATAATAATAATAATGTACAGTCGACCCCCTATAAGATATAGATACGTTCCAATTTATTAGGAATCCAATTTCTTACAAGTCGTTCCAATCACAGCCCGACACGTATCAAGTTTACGGACTACGGCTGATTGAAAGGTTTTCTTGCATAAAATTAATCGATTCTACACTAATCCAACTCAACATTTCCAAAATACGTATATTTTTTCGTAGTTTTATAGGAATCGTAATTATAGGGACCGTAATTATAGGGGAGTCGACTGTAAATGTGAAGGCAAACAGCACGAGTCCGGTGAGAACCAGATAGTAAAGCAAAATTATTTTTAATGTGGCCGAAAAAGCGCTAAGTCGACCACATGTAGTAGCCAAAAGCCTACAAATATCTCAATCTGCAATTCCGAAAACCAGTCGTATTTTATGAGATAATTTTAACCTTCCCTTATTTTAATATAGAAACACGTGTTTATGCAATGTTAAATTAATAATTCTTCTAAATTTTCAAGTAATTGGATACGAAAAATCTGTAAGTTTTTAATGTTTTAAATTATTGTAATTTATTAAAAGTTTTGTTATGTACATTTTTAGAAAACCGCTGAAGCCTGATTTGCCTGAAACAGGCCTACAGTATAATGTGTACAGGAAATACTACGGGTGAAAAAATAAAGATTTTTTATTTTTCTGATTAACCTCGAACGATCCTTGTATTTTTTACTTTAAATTAATAATTATAATAGTCGTAATTATAAAATATAACATTGATAATATAATTGAATTCCGGCGTATTTTATTACGGCACCTTTTTAAGCAAAGCACAAATAAACCCATTTTAACAAAAAAAAGTTATATATTTTTCAAAATTGAGCTTAAATTTCATAAATCAAATCACTGACTCGCGGCTCCGTAAGTATCATTTGGTAAATATAATTCTTTAATTCTTAAAATGGCTCTTTACGAAAAAAAGGTTGCCGATTGGTCTAGACCAGCCACAGGTTGGCAACCATGATATAGAGTGTATCGTATATCGAAGTGTATCTTGTGACGAAAACGATATTTCTTACTAGCAGTATTCCAGAGTATTGGGAACAAAAGAATCGATGGTACAAAGCAAATTAACACCGGGGTTAATTGTACCGTCAAATGGAATCGACTTATGGGAGAACTATCTGTGAAAAATTTAACCCCTACATAGATGTTAGACACGTGATCCCTAAAGTTAGTCAGTTGAAAACTCGGGACTCTCTTTTATGTTCACTCCTTTATCCATAGAGGAAGAGGGTATTCGGGTCGACCTGTACGAAATTTTCATAAATAACGATTAACTACATTATTTTTCATTACTTTGCTCCTTTTTAATTATTTTTTTATTGCTACAAAATAAATGCAATTTTATTTTAATAGGCAGTAATTGAAAATAATGGAAATGGAGCATCCGTAATAATGAAAGGTAGGTTAACGTGTTTTAAGAGTTTATTACGCTGTTGTAGTTAAAATTTAGACTTTTCTGATTTTTCCGTAGGAACTCCTGTCAGTCAAGGAATAGTTAAAGGAAAAGCCAGAGTTATACTTAATATAAAAGAAGCCGATTCTATTTGTGTGAGTAACATTTTAAATTAGTTGTATAAGATTAGGAATTAACATGGATAAAATGATGTTAAATAAATTGAAATTGTTTCACCGATAAAGCATTGAATATTAATTTTTGTGAAATTTTGAAATAATGCTTTTACCTGCAGAAATCGATGAAAGTTTACTAGTTTAAGATCGATTTAAATTTCTCTCAGATTCTCTACTGCTCTGTCAGCTTTTACAATGTTGGCATTGTAATTCATCCGAAATCCATTCACTCCCGACCATCTCTACGTTTTCATCCAACATCAATGCCATTTTTAACCTATAAATTAATGTTCGATGGAAAATTCTCATTGGTTTCAGGCACTTTATACACGCGGTTGAAAATTCAGTTAACGGATAAATTTCATACCAAATAGAAAATGAATATTGATTAATTTTTTACAGCAAGGAGAAATACTAATAACGTACAGTACCGATATCGGATGGAGTCCTTATTTTCCTCTTATATCCGGTCTGGTTACCGAACTCGGTGGATTAATATCGCATGGTAAATAACAATATTCTTTTTTGTATGATATGGGCTGATAGAAAACTTTCGGATGATAAAGTATTTTTAATTTTATGATTTTTAACTTTGTTACGTTCGTTTTATCAAAGTAATATTTAAATATTGTTTTGCTTTAGGTGCGGTAGTGGCGAGAGAATACGGTCTTCCTTGCATTGTCGGAGTTCATTCTGCATCTGAAGTATTTCGGACAGGTAATTTTAGCAAAAACTCCTTCGAAAATGCCACGTTTTCCTTATAAATTTTACTGTAAAGGGCCACATTTACGTGCAAAATAAATAAACTACAGCTTAGCGCCTGGCGTTATAATCACAGTATTTTGTGGAGACCTTTCTAAACATAATTTTTCCATAATCACTTATTCTGAATGCGGCTGATTAACTGACAGTTTTTAAATTAAAACAATATACAAGTTACGTAATTATGCTAAGTTAAGTACAGCGTGATGATAAATTAATTTATCGTCACGCTGCACTTAACTTCGAAGCATTTATCATGGGATTCGAAAGTGACTTTTCGAATGTTGTGTCTATGAGGTGGTGTCGATTGTTTTCTACACATTCTTGCTATCTTTCTTTTAAAGCATTGCATGATTCTGCAGCATTTAAGGAACACTTTGCTGCCAATTTTATACGTGACGTTCCACGTCGGCTCCGTCGCAGTCCTTCAATTGTTCCCGACGTCAACCGTTGCCCCCATCCTGTTGAAACCACAGATTCTGGTATTCAATATTACACTGGAGCATCTACAGTTGGAGAAAGTTGTGCAACATTTCAATGTAACGAGCTGAATTTACTGTCGCAATCCCGCATTCTTTGTCTTTAGAATAAAGTATGGACCAATTATTTTAAAAGTTGCTACACATCACTAAGCATTAATCTGCCGCAAAGCTTCGTGAAAAAGTCTTTTTTATTCAATAACTATAAGATATATATATTATTATGTTTTTCTATATACGATACGACGGATTGTCCTGTACTTTTTCACGTAATTGCTTGAACTGCTCAGTTTTCCGCCGCAAACCTTCGTACTGCTGCCTGTACTTCATCGTTAGTGTTTTTCACGAAGCAAACTTTTTAAAGGTCCAAAGATATGGAAATCAGAAGATGGCCAGGTTTGGACTATACGGTGGATGCTGAATAACCGTCTTCCATGTATCTTGTATGGATTGGTTCCAGGTTTAATGCGCGATCTTTTTAATTGTAAATTAAATTAAAATCAGCGTGTAACTAGTTCTATCGCATAACCCTCATTCCCTTTTAAATTATCTTTTAAACACACAAACTGCAGATAATTCTCACAAAAATGCTATGAATATTGTAAGGTAAACAAAGTCTAAATTTTTTTAAAATTCGAATAGATTTTTTCCGATATGTTGGATGATCAATCTGATGATTTAAAATAGATGAAAAGTATGCTTTTATATTTTAAAAACTTTTGCGTGTCAATTTAAAACCTCACCGAATGATTTTCATTTATTATAGTATACATTCTGGCAAATTTTAGTACAATTTCTAAGGTATGGTCCTATGAGAAATAGGACCTGTGGGCAGAATACTTTAGTATCCGCAGAGTGGAACGACTCTAATTGTAAAATTGTGTTTTGTACAATTGCCGCAAATGGTTACTCACACAAAGACCAACACGAAATAGTAATTCACAGAGTTAGATTCAAAAATATTTTATTTTTTTAATTTCAGGCGACATTGTTCTATTGGATGGAAATAGCGGAATTCTGCAGAAAGTGACAGAAGGGGAAGGTTTCTAGAGGCGCTCTCCTCCATTGACATCAGCTTCTTTCATTTTACAAATGGTTCCTTCATCGCCGTTTAAAACGATAATGTCTCCTAAAAATATCCATTTATATTTATAAAAATGTAATATTTTCGATAATAAATTACTAGAAAAAGTTTCAACCTGTCTGGAAGACTTTCATAGCTCCGTGAGCAGCCACAACGCACGGAAGTCCGTACTCTCGAGCCACGACGGCTCCTAAACGATAAAAATATTTCAAACGAAAGAATGCTTAAAGCTTTCTAGACAACGCGCCAACGACGATACTTGCCGTGTGAAATCAGTCCTCCGATTTCAGTTACTATTCCGGCCAAAAGAGGGAAATACGGGCTCCAGCCAATGTCCGTGCTGTACGTGATTAAAATGTCTCCCGGCTGAAAATTACGCAAAAAATGAATTAAAGGGGTAGAGAAATGTCGCGCGGATCCTGCATCCGGTTCCTACTCGAATGTCGACTGCTTCTTCCACGTTGAGGATCACTCTGGCAGGACCTTTAACCATTCCGCAACTGACCGGAATTCCTTTAGAAAAACAATAGGAATGAGTTATTTATTTATTACTTTAAATTAATAAAATCTGCTCACCTTTCATGATGGCCTCGGATTTGTAGGTGATGTCTGAAGATCCTAAATTAATCTTTGAAAATGATAAGAGAAATTACAATGTAAAAGTTAAAGAAACGTAAAAAATGAATTTGTTTAAAAATTGTTGAAGACACCTTTCTATGAAGTATATATAATACAATAAAAGGAAGGATTTAAATAATTTTTTCGGCTTTGGCTCCTTCCGCTCTATGGGCACTATAAATATTATTTGTTCTCTGATGATTATCGTGACAATCGGAGCGATCGAATGGTGAAAAACAAGTCCCAACACAAGAAAGATAGATCGCTTAAGAAAAATTCCTGTAATGATGCTGCCAGGTACCCGAGATAAGATCCGGGCGAGGAATTCCCTAGCACGTTTCGTGGACCGTCTGTCCTGGATTTATTGGGCTCCATCCTTCAATACCAGCCGCTTTCATTCGTTGTCCGGAGTCACGACTTCAAAACTGCCCTCTTAGCGCCCGTAGGACAAAGAATTTCTCTAAAATGATTCTAATGACGATCAGACAATTTCCATAAATGTAATGTTATAATTACCAATTCCTTTCAATAGATGATCTGCGCGCATCATATATATTTGTATTTATACCTTATTTCTCATTATCTGGTTTACTGCTTTTTATATCTATGTATTAATTTATTGACGTTTTCACTAATATCGCGCAATTCGTCGAATGTGCGAAAAGCAATAACAATCTAAATAATTCTTTATTCAAAGGTTTTTCTACTCACGGGTTGGGGTATGCCACGCATAACTTCCGGATAAATAATTTTCTCCTGCTCAGCGTGAATCTTCTTTCGACGGATCGCCCTGCAAGTTAACGTTAAAATTTAGTTCCAATTACTGTTTTATCCTTTTTTTACTCGTACGTCGCCTACTGAAATTCGCCAGCTGCTTTGTGGACGAGTACTCGGTTGTCGAATTTTCCTATTATTAACAGGTGTAATTTTGTATATTGCTGTACATTGTGTGTGACAAGTCTACCAGTGGTGGAATGGTTAGAACTACTGAATATTTTTGTAATTGATCGCAGGATCACGCCTGACTAACAGGTGTGATTCTGTTAGGATGGCGTGATCCAGGGCCACGAGGAGTTTTGTAGGTTTTCTTCACGTATAAAACACCTAAATAGGGGTCAGTTTTTGACAGAAAGTTACTCTCGCCTGACACCTCTGGAATGTTCGTCCTTGGGTCGCATCGTCTTATTTATGAAAGTAAATGCGACTTTGTAACAAAGTAAAAGTTTTAAATACACGTTGTGTATATTAAATTATATAACCTATAACTGCAAACAACAATCGATGGGATTATTATTATTTTTGTGTGCTTGAGGACATAGAACACAAGATGTAATAGAATAACGCGAACCAACTTATTTGGTGATCTGTCAAGAAAAAAATGCCTCCATAGTTTTTTTTTAAAAACTGGCTTTTACTTACTCGTTGGTGTTACACGTGTACAAAACTCGGAAAACTTCACGCAGACACCTGTTGGTCAGTGAATTTTACATTCAAAGTTGAGAAATGGAGAATCGGAGTTTAAGTTGGAATAAAATCCTCACAAATTATCGTGTGTGTATTGAGATGGAAATATCGAGTCCATTCGTATCGTGTGTGGATTGAGATGGAAATATCGAGTCCACTATCCGACTTCCATATTCATGGCAGCCAGATGGAATTATCAATGGGCACGACTGATTTCGCAGAAACAGTCTGATCATCCGAAACAAGACATTTGAAAACTTACTTGGAAATTAATTTCGAAGAACGCGTTTTTATCAGCTCTCCAATTTCGTCATGCGACAAGAAAAACAGAAGGTCTCTGTGCGGAAGTCTTCCTTCCAGAACCATCAATTCTGCCAAATGCCAATACGCTTCACGGTTCGAGTCGAACATCTTTATCATAAACGACTGAAAAGAATAGATAATGTAGATCATTTGGTTATAGGTTAAGGCGACAGTAAAATAATTTCCTTACTTTCGCTCTCTCCCTCAGTCTAACGCCCTGTTGACACCTCGGTAGCAGAAATTTCAAGAAGAGCCTGTTCGGAAACATATTTGTTCGTAAAAGTAATACTTTGGCAAAATAAACCAACCGGCTTTGGATTACCTGGATTTCCAACTCGGGTATTTCTTCAATTTGTCTAGAACGTTGCCACGGGCAGATGATTTAGTATTCTTTACGTTATTCACGATATCCTAGTGTAATTTTAATAAAGAAAGGTGAAATTTCAAAAGTTTAATAATAATAATTTACATAAGTCCGACAAGTTCTACAAATGCATTTTTAAATGAATAAAATTACTGTATATAATCCGAGAAAATGGTTACCTGTAAAGTCTGGACTAATTTATGTTGATTCTTTCTCCAAGGGATCGAATATGGATCGAACTAAAATTGTTAAATATATAAAATACATGAAATAGAAAGTACAATTTCAAATGATAGCGATTATTTTAATAAAAAAATCACCTCTTTTATAGATCTATGCCCGTGAATATCGAGAAAATTTTTGAAATCTTCCGCTGATTTCGACGACGACGTCTGAAGCCATTTTAATGCGTCCTGAAAAAGATTGGATGAATCAATTATTATAACATTAAAAAGATTACTGACGATTTTAATATTTTGTAGCTTGAAATGACAATAAACCTTTTTTATTTTCAATATTTTACACGATTGTTTATCTAGCATTTAATGTTGGAGCCCTGTCTAGAAAGCCTTTCACGCAACCCAAACAGAATCGTTTTAACTTCTAATAATGATCTGATCGGCTCTGGATTTAGATCATTTTAACTTACAATTAACGTTTTTATAAAACGGAGCGAGTCGCAGTCTCTGGATGCAGCGACTATAAGTCCAGGAGACCGACAGCACCGGTAGAAAATCCAAGCAGTCGTAGACAGAGCGCTAAGCCTCTCTGGCTATCCAGCAGCCCCCAGACGACAATAATAAAGATATACAGTAGAGCGTCGTTTATCCGAAAGCTGGTTATCCGAAACGTCTGTTATCCAAAAGCATTCCAGTCGGCAAATTTAAATTTTCGCTGGTGCTGTGGCGCTTCAATCTTCGGCTATTTCTCGGGCTACTCAAATATTTTACGTTTTTGATACTAAATTAACTTCTGGAGTATAATTTTTTATTGTTTTTATATTTTTCAATAAATTAATTTTGTTTGTACAAAATAAAAAAATAATTTTTAACGATACAATAATCTTCGTTAGGCTTAACATCGACGAAAATTCAACGCGAAGCGACACGCAACCGAAAGAAATTTCAACATGGCATAAATTAATATATTTTTTTGTACATGATTCGTTATCCGAAAAATAAGTTATCCGAACCACCCCAGTCCCCAATTGATTCGGATAAACGACGCTCTACTGTCATTAGAAAATTTTATGCCCATTTTAAAATCCAAGGCGATCCCGTAAAAATGTTATGTTCGAATGGTACACTTAAGTTGATTTTATTATCTGGGGCCACTAAAATTATATTTTATTTTAAAAATGGAATTGCAGATTAAAATTTTCCAGTTTCAGTCAAATGCAATATTTCTGTTACTTATTAGAGAAGAGGAAAAAACTTTATTATACCAAACATGCAATTGAAATTTCATGTTTGCTTCACTCGTTTGCCCTGAGAAATTACAATCAATTTGTTGACTCCTCGAATGGTCCTCTTAAACATTCTTCACAACCCAAGTTGGAAATGAAAACCAAAGAAAAAGGACACCGATGACTCCAATCAAAATATGTTATAGGTTTGCTTATTCGGCTGTATTATAGTCCGCGCAGCGAAAGGGGAGATACGAGTCAGCCTACGATCTTCTACGTCCCAACGATCTACGTCAAATGAAATGGACGAAAGACGTGATAGTTGACAAAAATCTATTTAAAACATTTCTATACTATTGTGGCGACCAATTCTGAACTTCGTCCGATCGCCACCAGAGGGACTTCGGAGGTTTTAAAAGACCGATTCGAACACGTCCCTTCGTCCTTTTCTCGACTCCTCGTCTAGAGTACGGACTCCTATTCAATTGTGCTAACTGAACTCTTTTGGTTGGCAGCTAATCGCCACACTATCTTTATCGTTTCACTCGTTTTTACAAATTTTATTACTGCCATCCGTGTGTCAACTCCCATACGTTTCTTTCATCCGACACAGGTCCTTCCAGCTCAGGCCGACTCGTGTCTACTCTTTCGCTGCACGGACTATAATACTGCTTTGCCAGGCAAAGCGCCCGTTGTCTTTATATAAAAATAACACGAAAATATCAAGTAACTATAGGAATAATACGAAAAATATCTTGGTAGTATGTGCATTATGTTCAAATACCGAGGAAGGGTCCTGGTCACTTTTACGGGTCTCTGTATATACCAGCCCGGATCACGTGGGCCCGCTTACCTCTGTAACATTATTATATTAAGTAATAATAACTTATGTAATTCTTACTTCTGTTTTCATAGCTTTAAATGTTGTCGGTTGGATTTCTTTGGAGATAGTACGAGCCAATGCCTACAAATAAACGAAAATTTACTATTTCATATTAAGGGTAAGTGTTAAACTTTTAGTAAAATATGAACCTCTAAGGACTGAGGAACGTCGGCGCTCTCGACATCTGAGCAATTCGATAATAAATTTGCAAAATCCGAGTACACGTCGTTATTCCATCCTGAAAACAAAATGTACACGCGTTTTTGAGTAGATACACGTTTAATAATTACAGAAAAACTATGTAACCATTTATACGAGAGACAGAAAGATGTGACACTTAAAAAGATAGACTGAGGTCACATAATAAACTTATATTTATTTAAATTCAATAAATTTATTTCTCATTAATTTTCTCGTAATAGCATAATTAGTGCGACCTTTGTACTGTACTTACATTTCAGAATCGAATTGTAACTCTATGTACAGGATAGCGTAATGATTGAAACGGTAAACAGATTGTCATTCTGGACCAGAGATCTGCATCTTAACGTTAAAAATTTGTGGATCATTTGATTTGTATAATAAGCGCCATTTATCCCTAAATTTAATTAATTTTTTGCGCTTAAAATTAAAATAATATCCTAATCTACTAAAAAAAAATGATTGAAAGAATCAAAGATAATTCAATGTTTGGAACTTGGTATGTTATCTCTTTGAACATAACATTTAACCGTGTTTAAATCAATTTACGGATTGATAATTCTGTGTGAGTATAATGGAAAATAATCGTAAACAATTCAAATTGTATTAAAATTAATCAGCCTGCTTGTTGGTTGAAGTACTAGGAGATTGTCATTAATTAAAGTATCCAAATTCAACGTTGACTAGAAATATGTAGAAGGCCAAATACGACCAAATCTGATATGATGATGCAAGAACATGCGAGAGACATTTCGATAAAAGACAAATTAGCACTATTACGTACCACTATAGTACTTTTGATTTGTTTTGATGGAATATGCAAAACTTAGGCGGTCTACCAGAGAACGTACAGTACAATGGGAAACTTGTCCCGATTTAAGTTTTATACACGTGAAGTAAACCTAGAAAACTGCACGCGTCTAGTCTTTGGTGAAGCAAAACCGCCACCAACTACCAGTATCCGATGCTCGTATCCACTCGGTCATTAGGGCCAGTTTGGCAAGCGCCAAAAGTTTTCTATGTTAAGATATATATTCTGCGGGGTTTATAGAAAATACATTAAAAATCCGGCAGCCTCGAAAGACAGTATCACACTTTTAAAAAGGTATATTTATATATATAATTTTAAAAAAGTCACTTTAAAATAATGAATATAAGAAAAATTACTCTGATTTTTTCAACAGTCGTTTTTCATTATCGAAGAGATGTACAGTATTTACACCATATGCATTTCGAACTGTATCAATTAAAAGTTCCTCTTCAGTGACGGCCGGATGGCTGAGTGGTTAAGGTGGCAGCCAACCGCTCTAGGGGACCCGGAATCGAATCCGGACGAGTCGAAAAATCCCCAGAGATTTTTCAGAGGGTGGTCCGATCGGATACTTGGGTCACCGCCCAGCCGGCCGAACCCATAATGGGTTTGCTTAAAGAGACCCTCTTAGTACCCACAGGGCGGAAAGAGTTAAAAATAAAATTCCTCTTCAGTGGTTTTGTTTTTTTTGTTTAGTTATGGCAACGCAACACTTGGGTGATCTGCCTAGGGAAGATGTCTTCCTTTTTAAGGAAAACTGGCCCCTATTTAGGCGATACAGATGTAGAGAAAACCCGGTGTTCCGGGTACGAAGACCGCTTGGACACTAGTAGGCCTGTTCAGTGGTACAAATACATAATAATAACGTCTCTGGTATACAAGATATCTCGGTTTTCTTATATACTAGAGAGTTTACATTATTATTGTGTATTTGTATCGCTGGAGAGGAATTGTTAATTGATATAGTTCGAAATGCATATGGTATAAGTACATCTCTTCGATAATAAAAAAGGACTGTTGAAAAGATCAGAGTAATTTTTATTATATTCATTATTTTAAAGTGACTATCCTTTTTAAAAGTTTTTTTAAAATTATATACATAAACATACCTTTTCAAATATATTTTAATCCATCTCCCAAATGTACAAAATCACACTTTTATGTTAGAAACATTGCAGATGATTAATTACGGTCGGGCGTTGAACACTCTGTTCATCGCCTTCAGATTTTGTATTTCCATAATAGGGACTATATTGAACAGTATCTCGTGCATCGCTAAAGTCTCCTTATGCTGTAGCATGAATATATTTTACAAATAAAATATACTGTATATTATTTGCAGTGGTAAAATTTGCCAGTTCTTTCGCATGTTAAAAAATGTCACCTTACCGGGGCCGTGTTCAGTAACGCAGAACACCTAAGTGGGCGGAGCTAAGAATACATAATACTGTACATAAAAGAAGCTAGTGGTGGGAGGAGTCAAGCGGTAGTTAGAAACGAGTTCAACATTGCAGCCTAACTAGACTTAGCAAGAATTCTGCGTTACTGAACACGGCCCATTTGAACTGTTATATCTATGCTACGATTTTATCTCTAAACAACGTTGTATAGGGGTACTTGAATTACGGTTACCCACTACATGTGATCTTAGTTCCAATATTGTTTCATTGGTAATTATCGTAAGTTTTCTGACAAATGTACATAAGGTAAGTCAGATAAATTTTATTCAAACAATTTCCATGGATTGTTAAATGATATTTACGCTAAGCGATTATGAATGTCGTTATTATCCTCGTTAGTAGTAGCGGAAGAAGTCGAATATATTTTATTAAAACATAAATAAATATATGCATTTCTCGTTATTTGACTATTATTTTTTTACCAAGTCATTAATTATATATTTTTTACCTCCGTGTTCCTTAACCAGAAGCGACATTAAATTTGTATTGTACATGGCAGAATATATCAAAACTTCGGTATTGCTGTTAGTACCCTAGAAAAAATAATATATATGATTTACGTTGTCAGAATGTTATTAAACAAAAGAATTAATATCACAATGTATAAAGTAATTTTTAAAACAGCATTTTCATAAAAATAAGTTATATTCGACTGCCTATAATTTTATTCATATAATGACGGATGGAAGGCAGAGGCGGTCAAGGCAATAGCCTAAGCGCTCTAGAGGGCTCGGAATCGAATCCAGGAGAGCCGCCTTAGAAATTTTTCATAGATCCATGGGTTCAGATACGTCGGGCCCATCTTTGGTCCGACACGTCTGGACCCATAGACTTTGCCAAACTATTGTTGAATATGATCAAAACGTCCTCCTACTACAAACAAGGCAAAAAAATTAAATTTAAGTTATTCAAATTTTTGTTTTGATCTTTCAGTCTTGAGAGCTCTAAGAGAATCTTTTACTGGACCAGTATGATTGCAAACTCCAGAATGGGACATCTATATGGGTCCAGCATATCCCGATGAAATATATCCATAGAATTTCTGAAGATACGGCTTCGATTGAAACCAAAACTCACAAAGCGAAGGACTGATTCCTTTGCCGTTTTAGTCATCGAAAATGCTTATAAGGATTGCTTTAGATTTATCAATTTTGTTACTGTCCTCATCACATTCTGTTAGCTCATAAAAATTCTCAGTTATTTCTCAGGATAATAATATATTTTTTACTCTTTCTGTCATTAAGAAGGTCTTTTACGAAGTCCGTCGGAGATTAGGCCAGGACCATAATGGAATAGCCAAATGGTGAGAAACGAATTACCATCCGAAAAATTCCTTGGGTTTTTCGAACCTTTCTGATTCTAAGCCAGATTCTCGAGGATAGTAGTAGGCTAATGCCTTACCACGTCCAGTCTAGAGAAAATATCTAAACTAGAATCTAAAATATACTAAAAATAGTGGACTATAGTACATAAAAAAATAAATACCACTCCTGAAAGTTGTTTCGAAGATCCAATTGGCCCTGTCAATATGGCCCTGGCTCATAATGTATCCAAGTAATGAGACACGATCGACATTAGAAGGAGTAGGGACACTTGATGGATTTAACTAAAAAAGTTTCTTGGTATCTTCAGGATGGGATTAATAGAATTTTCAATGATTAATACGATTTAAATCTCCGAACACGGCGAATGATAGCAACATAAAAAGTGGCCAGATGGTCATTATTGGTGGTTCGAGTGTGTTATTAATAGGCAATCGATTATCTTTTATTTATTGCTGCATACTTATTTTAAACTCCAAAGTTTACATATTAATTAACGACTTACTTCGCAAATATATTTCCAGTGACGATGCATATCTTGATATAATTCTAAAGACGATTTGAAGTTCTGCAAGTCTTTAATTTTATAATTGAAATATTTCCTTTTTCTCGCTTCTAAAGCACCTTCGGCAGTTAGAATAGTCTAAGAATTTATTAAGACTTTGAAGTATTTAATAATTTATTACTTTATATTCAAGATTTTAAAAATTTTATACGGTATTTAAACTGTAAATTCACTTGGGCAATTTTATAGAAAGAAAACTTATTATTTACCTTATAATAAAATAGCACAGTGCGAATTTGTGTAAATGAGAATTTCTTTTTATAAAGTGAAAATCTTTCCTTTGCTCTTTCGTATAATTCGTCGTCTTCGATAGTTCTTCCGATGGATGCCAACATCGGCGCTTTATTCAAAGTAGAACCTTTCTCGTACGAATTACTTAGCCATCCCTTTAAAATAATTCAAGAAATAAAATGAAAATTATTTGCATATCAATAAAATATATGTAATGGCAGTCTTAGACGTAGAAAATTAGGCTATTGTCTAGGCCCTCGCGTTTGTAGGAGCTTAGGTATTTATAACTATCAGGAACGATTTTATACTTAATCTAAGCAAGCTCTAGTTTAGAGCCTCATTCGAAAAACTTTTATATTATTTCACGGAGCCTCTTATATTATTTTCAAAGAGCTCTTTATACAGGATGTGCAAAATATAGTAGATTATCACAGGCTTATAGAGCGGAGAAAACCTGATTAAAAAGTTTTAGGTCGTTCATTGATGCGAAGCTAATTAAGAGTCAAAGTGTAATATTAGTCAAAGCGTTAGTTTCGTGTACGGAGGAGCAATTAGAAACTGGCGTGAAAATCAACGTCTCTGTTCGGAATGTTGTCCAACTAAGAATACAGTTGTAGCTGTTCATCGGCGTCTTCGAGAAATGTGCAAACTTTCAATAGTCAGCATTAATAAAAGAAAAGCAAGAACCGTGCAAATACCAGATACGGAGCAGTGAGTTATTGCTAGAATTGATGAGGATTCTAGTACTAGTATAATACAAATAGAACTATAGGCTCCACTCATTCAAGTTTATGGCGTATTATTCGCGAATATCAATTGTATCTATTCCATTTACAGAGAGTGCAGAACTCGCACCACGCCATTTTCCTCTACGAATAGAAGTCTGTCATAGGCTTACGAGAAGTATTAATCCTCATTTTCTCTGAAATATGGTTTTCATATATGAAGCGATATTTATTTGAAATTCAATTGTAAATTTTCATAATTATTCACAGATGCATGAAATTCTGACGCTATCATCCAATATCGATAGAGAGGTTGCGGCCAAAGTTCAAACGTTAAACTTGTACGGCAAGCAGAAGTACACGTTTGACGTTTGAACTCCAAGTAAAATACGTTGCGGCGCACGTTGTTGAAAAATGGCAAAAACGTTTAACAACGACGAATGTAAATAACCAAATTAAACTATTTTAAAGTATTTATAGGATATTTAATAACACTAAATAATTATTTTTAATTAGCGTCGTGTCTCCTACCGTAGGACGATAGGACGATATGACTATCTCATACTTTTGTCGAGGGAAGTAGTGGCTTATGGAAATCCGAAAGCAGCTTGGAAAATTATTTTTAGAAAATTTACAAACCTATTACGCTGTTGATGGTAGATTCCGTGGAAGAACAAAACTAATTCTACAGATTTATGATAAGCTATTATGAAGACGAATATATGCGAATTCTATAGGCATTCCGCATCACTTGCAAAAAAATCGAATAATTAAATAATTTCTGGATTAAAATCGTCTTTTTCTGTACAATGTTATTCGTAAATGCTTAAATAATCATTATTTTAACCCCAAACACAAAAAGGAAGAAGTTTAAACCGATCTTCTAATCGTTATGCTAGACGTAGCCAACCTCCTAGACAGTGCCGTCTTTAGGGCAGGGCCCCCAGGCCATAGGGGTCCCCTAATCAGAAAGTAATAAAGTTGCAAATAAAAAATAGGTTAATTGAAATAAACAAATTATTAAAAATATCAAATACTTTATTTTTCCTATACGTAGTTAAAAATTATCTTAAAACTAAGCAAACTTAGAAAATTTTTCTTGGACATTTTGCTGCTGTGGAATTCATAATTAATTTATCGAAATTTACTTTATTAATTATATTTGATTCTATATTCATAATAGAAAGATTATTTAATCTCTATTGAGACATCGTATTACGATGATCATTTTTTATAAATTTCAAAATAGAAAATGAACGTTCACCGCAACAATTTGTAATCATTAAAGTTAAAAATATTCTAAGACTGATCCCTATACTAGGAAATGTACACCATAGCAAATCCTGCTTTATCAAAAAATACATATCTCAGATCGACATATTTTCTTTACCTTTATGTTACTATTGTTGCTGTTTCCTTAAGGGGGCCCATCTTGGTCCTGGCCCAGGGCCCCTTACGTTCTAAACAAGGCACTGCTTCTAGAATTGCCAGATGGCGGTGGTCGACGTCCGACGTTCACGTTTTGGGCTGAAAACGACGGCCGCAACCTCTCTAATATGAGAAACAATTCCGGCCGAAATATAACATCTTGGTCGGAATAATTGATAATTAATTGATTGATCTATTTTGCTGCCTCAACACTCGCGGGCCAAAGTTGCAATCATGTTCTTAATAAAAACTAGGTATCCTTTTAAAGGACATTCCGCTGGATATTCGACATCAGAATCTCTTCGTGTATGATGGCGTTCCATCGCTTTCCAATCGCCATACTCAAGAACATCTTGATAATAATTATTCAAATAGAGGAACTGGAAGAGAAGGACTAGTAACTCGACCTGCACGATCTCTAGATTCAAATCGTGTAGAGTTTTCATATGAGGACATTTAAAATATATGATTAATCTATTCCAATCGCCAACGGACAAGTTATAAAAATCATTAAATGCTACAAAACAATTCTCAATTTGCCATGGTACGTTGGTGTCCGAAGTCCTCGGAACTCGAACTGCCTTATCACTGCCAACGTTGGATAAAGTTTTGTGGCCTGCAGCAATGGCACAGAGATTGCAATGCGAAAATATAGGCTTGATGATCATTGCACTGTGCTACAGGCTGAGCTGTTTGTCATCAGCATGGCCACTTCCTGGTTGTCCGCCACCATAACAATAAAAAGATCAGCATCACTACGGATAGTGCCTCAGCTTTGGCTATCTTTCAAACAACAAACCTTCACTCCATTCAGAACTGACAGGAAGAGTTGTTAATAGACTCCATTCAGGAGTCTATTAACAACTCTTCCTGTCAGTTTTACATCAGCTGGACAAGAGCGGACCAGGGTCTCCAAGGCAGTTAAAGGGCAGATGCGCTCGCTAAAGAAGCATCTTCTGATCAGGACCTACCCATCGCCTACGGTAAAATAAACCTAAAAACAATCAAGGGCATCCTGTGACAAGACCTCATCACCTCTTCGCAAGAAGACTGGAACAATAACAATTCTATAACTCATGACTTTATTCCCGACATCAAGGACTTTCTTACTTACATGTGGTACACCCCTTGACACATGACCACTCAGATGTTTACTAATCACGTTAGGTTTTTTGCCTACCTGGCCAGGTTTAAGAACACTGACAGCCCTGAGTGCTCTATTTGTGGTACCACGGACAGTAGTGCACACTACATTCTGAACTGTTCAATGTTAGACTTGAAGTGCTTCCATCTCAGGATTGTTACTGAGGCTCATGACTACAATTGGCCTCCCCAAAACCTTAACTGCCTCCTCAGGCACAAAGACACATATGGTGCCCTTATCCACCTCATTGCTATGTACTTCAAACGGACATCTGTACCAGCATACTCTTAGTATATTGCCACTGTTTTCATTGTACATTCGCGCTCAATCTCTCTTCAGTGCAACCTCCACTTTGTTCCGCGTTTGCCCTTGTAAGTGCAAGAATTTTCTTTGCACTATTCTGCACAGAGCTTTCAAACCCACTTACTCGTCTATACCTTTAACCGTACGCGCTCTATATGTTTGTATATACGCGTTTTGTTTGTGTGTACTGATACACCCCTTTGCATCAGTCTTGTTCATGCCCCACACTAAAGCATGATTTTGTTCATTCTATTATTTTGTATTATTCTCATTGTAACCTATCAGGTTCTGTTAATTTTATTCTCCTGTACACGAGTCTACCCGGTTATGTTCCACGGCACCGGATATGTACTATTGGTATGTTATAAATGAAATAAACTGAACTGAACTGCATTATCACACTGTATTTAGTAATAGGACCAGGTATGATATAACGTAAAACAGTCAAACAGTCAAAAAATCAACCTTAGAATATTTTACCTACTGTAGAACATGCCTATTCTGTCACGATATGTAGAAACATCTTTAGGAAAGATTATGAACGAATGTATTAATATTACGCTACTAGCAGTATGGATGCCAATGAATACGACCAAGCCTGTTGGAAAATAACTTGGGTTAACACAAGTTCTAATTTCATGCCATATTTTGAGATTTTTCGATAAGAGTTCGATCCATACCTTACTGCGAGAAACACTATCAATGTGATATTTTATTTTAAAAAATCGTTTCTTCTCTGACTCAATGGTCAGATAATATTATATGGTAATGAAGATTAAAGGAGAACTAACTGAATTTTAGTAGAACAAATGACTACAGTAAACTGCTATTGACAGTATTTTACAGCATCTCTGAGTATTAATCGGCCTTGTAGTTCAAGTGACTGTAGAATTTGAATTCAAGTTTACTTTATTCTTAACGTGAAATCTGCATTATTAATTTTGCACATTGGCCAGAAGTATAGAATATAAAATATGAATATATATTAAACTTACGTCAATGACATTAAATAACGCATGACCATTAAAATAATGAATATTCATTGGAAAATAAGGGCAAGCGGGTCCGTTTGCTGAAAAGATGTTTCTCCATCTGGATTTCTGCAAAAATATTTAAATTTCAATTTTTTTTATAACTAATATAAAAGTAATTTCATACAATTGAAAAAAAAGTATTTTTAAAGGATTTAACAAGAAATCAATTTCTTTTTTTCGTTGAAGTTATGAATTTCTTGTTAATTAATGCTGTAATTACGGCGTGCGGATGAGAAATAGTAGTGATTCAAAACTACTTTTTCATAACTAAAGATTATATTATGTTTTAAGCACACATTACTATCATTTCAACTCCATGTTAGAAACAGGACACAATTATTTACAATATGCGTTGACACTAAAATTTCTATTTACCCCCCAGAAATGAAGAAATATTAGAGAAAGACCGCTTTCTTGAGAGTTTTTCCTTCAACCTCATGTACTGTACAGTACGTGGTGTTCTGTAGCTTTTAAAACTCGTTTATCAATGAAAGTGCAGAATAATATACACACGTAATTGATAAAACCGTTAACACTATGTATCGACCGAAATCGCAAGCGTGATATAATAGTAGAAATAAGGAGTGATATAATGATGATAACGTCGTCATCAATGTGATGGCGTTCGTAGACTTTGTTGTGGTAGGTTAAGTTGAGACCAAATATTGTCTTTCTTTATGATAAACTATCCACTCCCAGTTGCGAAATGGAATTTTAAGTGTTCCTAGATTTAGTCCAAAAATTCCGTATATTTCCACGGACAATGTACTTTTATTTAAAAATCTTTTCGCCCTGTTGACACTAAGAGGGGACGGCATGACGTTGGAGTTGGAGGTTTTGATCAAACTCGGCTAGGTTATAGCGCATCCCCATCGACTGACAAGTGCTAAGCAGTAAAAAGCAACACTCAAAATGAAAGAAGAAAACTGAGGTTGAAAATTGCAAATCACTTAACGCGAACTTGGTGATCGGCCGGCCACCATACAAATGACGGAAATACTAAAGGTTTTAAGTAACCTCGATTTTCTTCCCACCACCCACCACCTACGTTGTGAGCCTAGTCAAACCCACGATGGGTATGATTAAAAAGGCATGTTACAACCCAAAGAGCTGAAAGGGTAAAAACTTTCGCATTTAAACGATGGAATCAATCAATACTTACCAAAAAATTATAGCAAAATAATTTATGAATCGAAGACATGCACAATGGACTCATAGCTCCAGGAAACACTTCCCTAAAAAATGTAAGTTTCGTAAGTCAAAATTCTTTTAAAATGTTTAATATATAAATACAAGCTTTAATAAAAATTAAAGATAAACGCAGAAAGTTGAAAACTTGGATTTAGTCGCACAATTTGTTTGCTTTTGAAATTGTCACTAAATAGAGTGTGTAGTAAAACTGAAGTACCTCAATTAATAATAACTACATTATAGAGCAATGAGGTCGAAAGTCAAATGTTATGGCGATAACAATGCCCTTCGCAATGCAAATTATACTCGTAATAATTCTCGGATATTGAAAAGTTCTCTGTTACGGGATGGATTTGTTTAAAAATATCATTGATCTTTGACGAGGGAGCCAAACTGAGCTTCGGCCGTACTTCTATACTAAAATTTAATTAAGTTCTTAACCTTTCTGAAGCCGCGGAACACCATTTATTTACTTTTTATTACACGGAACATTCAAAAATTGATAAACAATTTCATGTTTACTATTCTCAGGAAACAATGAAGCAATAAACTAATAAACTTTAATATATTGAATAAAATAGAAACATGGAATTATCTATGAATATAGCAACGGGAATAAATTTGAATAAAAACTTTAAAATCTTTTCTTTCGTGGAACACTCGAGGTAGGTTCGCGAAACACTGGCCAAGAATCACTGAGATACAAGATACATTGTTAATTATTTTTAATTTTAAAATTATTCCAGCAAAAAATCTCTTGGATAGACTTTTCAAGTAAACGAAGTAATTATTTTGTCTGAGCAGTAATGGCACTTGGTGTGAATTCGGGTCAGCTTGAAATTTTTTGGATAGGTTAAGCCAGATTCATCGACATTCTTTAAATATAAAGTCAGACCCACAACGAAGGCACCCAGCCGCCGTTATTGCGAAGATAAAAATTGAACTGGTGAAAAATAGTTTTTCTTCTTACTCCCTGTCTTACTCCCTGACTAAAAAGTCTTTTTCCACGAGCATTGCGAACACGACAGTAGCTCACAAAGCGCAGACAAAATGGCTCACTGCGCAATGTAGTTGTGTGCTGTACATGGTGAGCCTGGCTTTACAGGATTCGGATTACCAAGGCTTATATGAACTATGTTATATTGTTTGTCAATTACGAATTATATTACGGGTGATAAAATTTATTAATTAGGCTATTTGGTAAAAATATCACTAAATACATTATTTCACATTATTTACCCAAGGTTTCCCGTAGATAAATATTCTTCTTCGTCTCGAAACATGCAGTCAAACTCATGAGCGATTTCGTAATCAGTTTCTGTTGTAATCGACGTAATGGGTCTCGACTAATAGAAAATCAAAAAATTTTACAGTTATTATTAGAAATGAGAAAACCGTAACCGTATTCCCTATTCGGTTTGAATTTTTTTAGGATTAATCTATATTGAATTAGTTAATCACTCGTAAAGATAGAGTATTCCATAGGTATGTAATGTAAATATAATATTTAGACTTTACATGAAAATCAAAGTAGAAAATCTTAATTTCCATCATTTAACAAAAAAGACACGGACGAAATATTAAATTAATATGACAATACCTGAAGAAGATACAACTGGTCATTCGAAAAGCACCATTCGATATCGCGGCAAGATCCGAATTCTTTTTCCAACTGAAATTATTTTTTTTAATTATTACAGCTTATTTGTTGTCCTGTGAATTTAATAATTTATAATTACAAATCTGTAAATATATATTTATGTATTTGATACAAGCGGGCGAGCGGTGTAGTCACTCCGCTATTTTATACACTATATAGTCTGAATTAAATTCCTTTTATGTTCCACTATTTGTTTTCGTTACAGTCGAAGAATTATAAGGATCTTTTGGAGTATACAGATATAAATATACGGGATTGTCTATAAGTAACGCTAGTTTTATATATTTCAACTACCATCCTCCCTGTAATGCTTCATAACGCATCGCACATATTCGCCTCAAAATTAAGTAACGCAGTAAAAAAGATTCTAGACCGGCTTCTTTTACCGTACTGAGGAATAATACACGGCGTTAAATACTAAACATTATATAAACACTAAGGCTTGCTGCGTAACTTTGGAAACAAAAATGATTCGTATTGTTACCCTCGCGCAAGGTTCTTGTAAACATCCCATCTTGTAACGCGTGTAAGATTACACTATTCTGCAAAAGAAAATTTATTTCCGCTTCCGTCAAATATTTTCACTGAATTTTTATAGTTTCGATGCTGTCGAATCCGATTCTGGCATCAGAATTGGCCTGACGCTCATCACTTTTGAGTGAAACGATGTTCTTGAAGGAAAACATTTCCTGTTGGAAATATTATATTTATTGGCTAATTTATGTTAATTTCTCTTTTTTCATAATTCTATCGTTTTTGTTCTGCCGCATATCCATTTGAGAAAGACTCTTCGAGTTCATCAGGAACAGCTCCTAGGTTGGCGGAAAAAAATTTAAATGGGAACGCAGGAAATGCATCTCCAATGATACGCTACAATCCAGTGTTTATTGGACGTTACCGACTACTTAACAATTTCCCCACAGTTGTTAGCATATACATTCTCCAAAATTTCTTCGTCTATGCTGTCAAAAGCTGTCTTACTTGGGGACCAACAAAAATTCCCTCCTTTACTTTCGCATCACTCTAATGAGAAAACTTTTGCTTCAGGTAAACAAAGCCTTCTTCTCTGTCCATACCTTTCACAAAGTTTTCCATCGAATTGAGCTTGGTACGAAAAAGACGTAAGAAAATTTTAGTTTTCTCCACTAGAGCATAAAAAGCAATATCATTATGCCTCGTACAGTACGTTTGCTTCGGACCAACTTTATCCAACAAGTGACAGCAGAATTTAGTAAAGACCCGTTAGTATATTATATAGTTCTCTGGAAAGAACAGTAAGAGAAAGTTTGTCTAATAGGTGCATTTTTCTGCAAAATAACTGCATTTAAAAAACTGTGAATAATAGAAGAGTTTGCACTTCAGATTCATATTTAGCATTTTGCACGAAAGGATTTTGATGCAGAACAGCGTTATCTGCATATCCGCGACACCTAATTTATTGACTGCTCCTATGTTTATATAATAAATAATAACTTAAAATTAATTGCGTTGACTGGCTACGCGCGTGACGAATGTTAAGGATAAGATTTGTGTAGTGAACAATTTTAATTAAAAAATTACTTTAAGAAACAAAATACTTTAACATTTTCTAAACAGAAATTACATACCATTATTCCGACATTTCCTAAATAAAGCGCTTGTTCGTCGGTCAAACAGCAATTATCTTTGAATTCAGTATTTTCTTCTTCGACAACGTCACCCGTCTCTGAAAAAAACATTGAATGCATTGATGTATATTACTAAACATTTTAAAGATTTTATATTTATGTACAATCTCGTATAAAAAGAGCTATGTTATTTGTCGTTTGTCTATGATCTCGCAGCAGCCCAATATTCTCTTCGACGGCCGTAAGGCTGGTAAGGTTTCTGTTTTGGCTTCCCGGAATCGAATCCCAGGCTATTTTCATCAGCAATCTGTCCCGGATATACTCGGCCCTGTCTTCCACCACCAGATCTTCACTGTTATGAGCCTGGATACTGGATATGGATAAATGACACTCTATACATACCTACACACCATCTATTCTGCAAATAACCGTGCATGAATGACGTGTAGGATAAACCCAGAAGAGAATAACGTTTTCTAAATATTTTGAAATTTAAATTGTTTTTTGAATTTTGATGAACAATAATGACTAAGTAGTGAGAATATAGCCTATAGGAATTTTATAATTAATGTACAACATTTAATACGCTGCGTTCGGGCACTACAGAAAAGAAGACAACGCTTTCTACGGGACACCGGCTCCTATTTAGGTGTTAGATGTGTGAAAAAAATCCGTAAAACATCGCACGGCCAGTCCGTTTCGGAGGCGCGAACTGGTGACCGGCCAGTGTTCAGTGGTTTTATCCACTAGACTAATGGTGGGCAAATTTCTCTTTAGATTTAAAATCTTTGCCAGGACAAAATTGTTTAAGGCGTGTTTATTTTATGTTTTTAATAATTGCACGAGTATCAAATCGATAGACCTACTTACCACTCACCACAACCATTGTATTTTTTTTTCCAATGCTAATATTATTAACAGTTAATTTCTGATTTATATCTCTCTCTAAACAAATGGTATCGGGTTCGGCTGTGGCAGCCACTACAGACTGAAAAAGTTTTATAATACTTAAATTATCTATGAAATTTAAAAAGGCATAAGTATTTGTTAAAATTCTAAATTTTATAAAGTACGATTCTAAGTTATACTTTAAATCAGAGCATCGTTACTTATTTATTAAAGAAATTCTTTTATGTATCTTTCTGTCTCGCGGACACTAAGATAGTGTTTTTCCATACACATCACGAGTTTTGCCGAAATCCACAACGAAGGAATAGCACGTAACAGATCCGACATCTGTGTCAAATCCCTTATTTTAAAAGTGGCTAATGATTCTGACTGCAACAGGCAAATGTTTTTAAGTGGTTATTGTATAAAAAGTTTAAACAATTTGTTATTTATATATAAAAATATCAAGTTTTAGTTACGTTTTAAATATGAATCAGACGGCAAACTTCGACCCGAAATTAGCGCGACGTTTCTTTAAAACAGTAAAGAACGGCGAAAACATTTCACAAATAGTTTTATCCGGATATGTCGGCCCTGCCTATCCCTCTATCACCGTGACACGGGACACAATGATGACTACGAAAAAATCTTTCTTAGTGTCCGCAGGAGAGAAATCAAATTAAATTAAGCAAAAATATTTGGATAAATTAATGCAGCTATAAAAAGTAGAGCAAATGAGCAGAAATGAAAATCAGTACCTCTCCTAGTCCGTAATTGGCTGTTATCGTTACGTGTTTTGGATTAGAAGTAAGAGGATTACAAGTAAACATAACACCCGCAACGTCGGCATTTACCATTTCTTGGATAACGACTGCCATCGGCAAGTTCAACAATTGACCGTTTTGCCTGTAACAAGTTGTATTTTATAGTAAACTAGCTTATCAGTCGCGCATTGCTGCGATCTCTGAACAAACGAAATTCCAGCAAACTCGTTACGATAAAATTCAATTTACATTTTAACATTTTTATCGAAACTTATTATTATTCATTTTCGCGGGGAAAACATTTCAAAGTGTCGTTTCAATTCCATTTATTTATCGGAGCGCTCGTGGATACACGATATTTTTTGTTTTTCCGTCTGGTGCGTACGCAAATAAATCGGAAGATTTTGCGACGCGTGAGTCGGCCACATACAGTTAGAAGCGCGGATTCTTCAAATTTAGCCCACATACTCGCAGCGATTGTTAGAAGCGCAATATTCCCCATTTATATATATACATTTAATCCTTTATTATTTTGATTATTTAAATGCTCCTTCCTCTCTTCCTTGGCGCGTTGTGAAATTTCTGATACTGTAGTTGGATAATAAACATTTTTATCGTAATTTGTCTTTTTAAATTATTTCGAGTCGATATTAAAATTTGGAAAAGGGGGATCCCTAGAACGGTAAAATAGGCGAATTTCCTCCTACGACTTCGGCCGTTGTTCGGGATACGGTTAAGGTTTTAACAAAGTTCGAGCGAATACGTAATTAGCAAAAAAAGTTGAAAGAAAGCGATTAAACAAAAATTATTACAAATATCGTAAATAACAAATGCATATATACAGATATTTTTTGGAGGGGGGAAATGGTCTTGGCAATTTGAAATCGATCGAACACACAATAAAATGCTTGTATACACGCGCGCCATCTATCGTAGGATAAATGTACTGTGCCAGAAACCTTCGCGGGAGTATATTAAACGACTTCCCAAAGTTTCGCGGCAATCGGATAAACGGTGTGGTAATGCTTGAAGGACAGACAGTCAGTCACACACGCACATTCATTTTTATATATATAGATTTACATTCTAACGATTGTAAGAAATTTTTTAAATATTAGACTAAGTTAATCTTAAAATTTTCAAAACTGTTAAATAATAAAATATCATACTAATTTGTTATTACGGTTACTTTTCCTTGTTTTAGATTGAACTTGACGAGATACGGTAACGCCACATCAAGGGGGAATGCCCCGAAAATCTTTCTATGGAAAACGGGTCGCTAACAAAACGCCGAAATCCCTACGTGGACAGCCGCTAGTAAGGCACGAACCCATCTGTCACTGGCGGGTTTTTGACTATTTTCCGAGAAAAAATGTTAATGTAACTAAATATTTAATTGTTACTATTAAAACATATTATATGGCATAGAAGTTTGTTAATCGGCAATACAGATCCAAAGTGGCGGTAGAATATGAAAAATGCCGAACTACGGACGATTTTTTTGTATTTTTGCAAAATTCCTCGACTCAAATAAATAAGTACAGGGAGCAGATTTTTGCATTTGCGAAATACCGAAGATTTATAATTATATTTCAGTAAATTCGATAGGAATGAAAGTTCTCACCTTTTGTACTCTATAGCTATAAACGAAAATTGCGATGCCCAACACTTCTTAACTGCAGTTAATATCTGACAAGAAAGAAGAATATATATATATATATATACATATGTAAATGTATTAAGGAAATTAAAACAATCATAATTATTACATTTCTGTGCTTATTAACTGTGTTTAAAACACAAGTGGAAAGGAATGCAACGTGACAGGTTATATACCGACTTTAAATTGAAATTAAGATAGGCTCGAACATCACGCGTATTAATTACGTATATATAAATTGGAATAGAAAGTCTTGGTTAGAAAGCTTTCCAATCCAAACCTATTAAAATGAATGGATCAATTGATCATTACACCAATCACCTCCAGTTATAATTAGAAAATGAGAATACGTAAGAAATTTATTTTCATTGAAATTGCAATGTAAATTCGTCAAGCCTTGCAAAAAGTAGAATATAAAATTTGTTTTTAAGTATTATAAAACTATTACGTATATAAATAATTAATTGGAAATCACTTACTTCTTTTAGTCCGGAGATTCCGAGATATGTTTCCATTTGACCCGCTGCAGACATATCTTCGCTATCTTCGCCTTAAAATTTAATAAATTCGTATTTAACAAATATTAATTTCGATACGAGAAAATTATTACTTTTAATAGGAAACTTATAGGAAGATAAAAGTATAAGGGTTTCGGACATGAGAATGTTTCGGTGGCCGAGTAAATAAAACCGCTACAACCGGCTGAAAACATGGCGGTTTCCCGGTTTTCTTCGACGTACAACGCCTAAATAGGTGCCACATTCCCACTAAAAATCCTTTTGGAAGGTTCTCCCCCTTGAAAAATCGCCTTATCCAATAACTCCATTCGATTCCCGAGAACATTTTATAAAAATGACTAAGAAGCGTACAGAAAATCTCATAAAAACAGTTACCGTGGAGTGACATTTTCCTTTTTTGTTTTTAAATTGTAACATTTCCCTGTGATTCCAAAGACGGTCTTTTCCTACGCTTATAATTCGTGTTGACTTACATTAGGGACAGCTCAATGAAGAAGGAACACGTAGGTCAATACATTCACGAATTTTTCTAAGATAACCTAAACTCGATCGAGTGCCGATGATGTCGGAACATCGCCTAGAGCAGCATACTAGTGCCTTTTTCGCATGCTATTTTTCATCCAACACAACGTTTACATTTTTCAAGCTTGTTTCAATTCCCGTTAACGAATTCAGTCCGAAACTCGCTGGAAATGAGAAGACGAAAAATCTTGTTTTCTTCTAAATTACTTCCATCTTCGAACGAAGATGGAAGTAATTTAAACATACAATTCTAAAAATATACTAGACTCTCGCTAATCCGGCTTCCGAATCGACCGGAATACATTCCAGTGCGCTCGCTTATGAAAATGTTCTAAACACGATGAAATGACCAAAGGAAACAGAAAAGGTAAAATATTTTATACTCTATTTTTTGGTGAACAGAAACTTCCGGATGAAAATGGCGTCAAGTTCCCGTTTCTATCTTCTGTTTCCGGTGTATTTTCCGATGATGTGGGGTCCAGCTTTTACTCACGTCACACATCTTCCTTTCCGATTTCTTTGAACAGTCTTGATGCGAGCGCGTTGCGTTGTTAGCCCGCATGCCTCGAAGAAAGAAAGGAAACGTATCGTGCCATTCACTCCACACCTCTGTACAAGAAATAGCCGGAGTAGCGAGAGTCTAAGTTTACGGTATTAGTTTTATTCTTACCGCAAGCCGATGATCTGACAGAAAATCGAATTTTATTTAAGTCATTTGTGTAAATTGCCTTCAAATTATTTTCAATTTCATCGCAGATTATATTTGGGAGCGAAACCTCAACAACTTCTTTCATAATTCTGAAAAAAATGCCAAGCAAAAAATTAATGGAGAATATTAAATTAATTATGTTTGGAAAAATAAAATGTTCTACCTTTGACATTCGACTTGTACGTCGCTTTTTGTTTTCCTAATAAAAAAAGTAATAAATAAATAAATAAAATAAAATTTTTGAATTTCTTGCAAAGAAAAGCTTAATTGTAAAGGGTGATAACTAATACTGAAAATTTAACGCTATCTCGAGATATATTTAGCTGGCCAAACGCAACAAAATCTTGTATAGTGACATTTCGGGACACGCGGAAGACACTTCCGTATAAAAAAATAGTACCAAAACTCACCAGTAGAGCAGTTTTGGCACTGCATGAAACCAACAAACATTTTACTTAAAAAGACAATCGTGTTATGCGGAGATCCTAACGATGCGGTGGATACTGTTCAATGTTCTGCATTCCGAAAGTGTGTTCAACGGCCGACCATAATTGATCATCTGTGATGCATATCGCACGCAGTGGAAATCATTTGTAACACGTTCTCAATAATCCAGAGTCTGATGTATCCTCGTAATTAAAAATCACAATTTAAAGCGCCAAAAGTACCACACTGGCGAGTTTTTACGCAAATTATATGCAAAAATAATACAAACCGTGTTATTTTCTGTAAAGAAGAAACGATGTGTTTCATTCTATTTGTATCCTGAAATATTTTGTAGGCTTTCGTCGTCACGACAACACCTTTGGGGACTATGAACTAATAGAAACAAATAAATACAATTTTGCATTAATTAATACCAGAAGAACTGAATGATCAACAAGAATTAAAGAATAAAATATTCAATAAATACGCGAGATACTAAGAAAACCAGTTTTTAAACGCAGTTGTTGATTTAGGCATATCTTAAAAATTACGCTTTATACACAGTATAAAGTCATATTCACATACGAAATTATAGAACTATAAATAAATAAATACAATACTGAAGAATTATATAAATATAGGTGTATAAACTATAGACAACACATTATATTCAGAACTTTAACAGAATTTAATAAATGAAAAATAATTAGTCAGTTTAACACCTTCTTCAATATATTCTTGTAATTAAGTTGTTATATTATTAAATATTCAATTAAGCCTACCGGTGGCCGAGTGAATGATCACGAACACTGCAGTTGTTACCATTTGCGGTTCTTCGGGTAGTGTTCGTCTGTCTAACAACTAAATAGGGACCAGTTTACCGAAGAAAGTCCTCTCGAGAAGCATTCTTGGCAAAGTATCCATGTGTTGCGTGGCGTTATCTCATCACTCCACTACACACTTATATTACACGTAAGAAGTGGTAATTTATAATGTAAATTTAGTATTATTCTACTCGTATTTTATTTTAATATTTCCGAAGAATAAAATTTGAAAAAATTACTACGTTTGGATTGCGTGGATGGAGTGATCTGTCAAGAGTGGGTGGCTCCCGGGAAGACTTTCCAGCATAAACTGGACAATATTTAAGCATTACGCGAGTGATGAATATCCGGAAAACGGCAAACGGCCCGCCCGTTAATTAGGAGTGAACCCGCTACGAGTGTTAACTGATTTTATTTCCACAGATTGTATCAACATTGATTTATAATTTCTTATTTTTTCATTGACATAATGTGTTTTCGAATAATACGATTAGAAGTATTTTTATAAAATATCTGTATGTACTGTACGAGAAAT